GCCACTGCATTCCAGTCTGGGCGACAGAGTGAGACTCCAACTCAAAAAAAAAAAAAGAGTGAGACTCCAACTCAAAAAAAAAAAAGTTGAAATATGAGTTTTACCTTATGTGAATTTCATCTCAATGAGAATGAGTCCTTGAGGGGAAGTACCAGGCAAACTTAGGAAGAGGGTAAGGGAAGTCTACTTCATCTGTTTAGATAAAGTGAGGAGAAAATGTTCTGTCTTAAGATCCGGGAGCAGAACAGAGAGGTGCCTGCCAGACAGGTGAGTGATGGCCTGTAGGTCTGGAAGCTCAGGAGAGAAGCCCAGCCTAAACAAACAGCTCTGCAGGCAGGGGGTACATGGTGGCCCCTAGCATGACAAGCCAGGAGGAGGGCTCCAGACACAAGAAACTGGGGGCAGGCAGCCGGGCATGGGGATGTGAGGGCAAGGCAACTTTGGATGTGCCAGCTGATGTCTTGTGGTCTCCGTGAAGGAGTCTGGAAGGCAAGAGCATGGGGAAGGTTTGAGCTGCAGTCGGTGGGGGAACAAGCTCACGGGAAAACAGGACAGTCAGACCCAGCTGGGGGCCTGCTGAGGTCAGCAGCTGTGAATGTGGCTCGGTGCCAACCTGTCACCGAGCGCCAGGGGCAGACCCACAGAAGCCAGGATGGTGTTTTGGAAGGAAAGAGAGCTGCCCGGGCGAGGTGGATGCATATGGGGGTGGGGCCACAAGCCTGGGGCCCAGGAGCGCCTGGTTGTCATGGTGTGGAGGAGGGAGAGTTGGAGAGCCAGGGAGGGTGGCAGAAAGAGGGACGTTTTGGGGGGTGACACATATTTGGATTCTGACCAGGACTGGGATGTGGACGTAGGAGCACGGAAAGGAGGCCTAGAGCTAAACTGAACGCTGATGGGGCTGTTTGTACAGAATTTCAGACACCTGTGACTTCAGCAGGACCAGGGCTGAGGAGAGATGGGGCTGGAACCTGACTCTTCTCAGACTGAGAGGGGTAAAGAGGCTTGACGACCACAGGGAGGTGAGGTAGGTGGGGGCGGCAGAGCTAGAAGGCTGGGACTCAGGGAAGGCAGGAGTCACAGAGGACAGTATAGAGGGGCTGGTCAGGAAGCCAGTGTGGGCAGAAAAAGACTGTGACAACCCAGGTTGGCCTCCAGAGGCCTCCCCTGGGCTGTAGAGTGGGGGGCCCTTGGACAGAGCTGGGCTTGGATAGGGTGAGGAGACAGTGACTACTCAGAGTGGTTGGGGAGATTAATAACTGCAGAATAGCTGGGCACGGTGGCTCACGCCTGTAACCCCAGCACTTTGGGAGGCGGAGGTGAGAGGATTGCCTGAGTCCAGGGGTGCGAGACCAGCCTAGGCAGCTTGGCAAGACCTCGACTCTACAATAAATCAAGAAATTAGCCGGGCATGGTGGCATGCACCTGTGGTTCCAGCTACTTGGAAGGCTGAGGCAGAAGGATCGCCCGAACCCAGCAGGTGAAGGCTGCAGTGGCTGTGAGCGTGCCACTGCCCTCCAGCCTGGGCGGCGACAAAGTGAGGCTCCAACTCAAAAAAATAAATAAATTACTGCAGAACAGAGTTACAGAGGGGTTCATGAAGTAGGAGGAAGGAGTCAGGGTGGGAAAGCCCCACGCATCTGGAGAGATGGGGGAAAAGGAACAGAGTAGAAAGGACCAGTGGGGGCTTCTAGCTGGGGTCACGTCAGAGGAAAGAGGGATGGCTGTGTCGTCGAGCACAAGACACCCCAATCAACCTCCTGATGCAAGTCTTCCCTGGGCCTGCCCTGCCCGCCACTTTCACTGGCTCCCCAGGGCCCAGTCACCTAAGAGCCGCCTCCTCACACCGGCACTCAGCACACCCGCCATCCAGCCCTCAGCCACCGTCCTAGCCTCAGTGCTCACCACTCCCGCCAAATCGCCTTCACTCCACTGGTCCAGCCTCAAAGCCTTTTTCTGTTTTAATTATACAGATGTGGGGTACACTCCAGAGTTAGGTATACAAACGGTGATTTTGCAGGTTCCCTTAACGCCAAGCCTTTGTCCAGGCCGTTTCTGCTCTTAGGATGTCCATCCCCCGCCTAGAAGGCTCTCCCACCTCCCACCACCCCTGTGGACTCACAACTCTTCCCTCTCCCACCCCAGCAACCCTGGAACCCTCCCGATTCTCCAGGGGGAACTCCATCCTTGCCTGGAGGCCCTGCATTTTGCCGGCTGAATACCAAGCTGCCCTCAACCCCATAAATGACACCGGGACTGAATCCCCGGGGAACAGAAAGCCCATCTGCCTCCAGAATGGGCCTTCCTCCCCAGCCCAGTTCAAGGCTTCCCACCTGAAAGTAGCATGAGCCAGGGCAGCAGCAGGAGGGCGGTGGTGTGGAGGGGCGTGTGGGCTTGCAGCACGGCCGCCAGGGCGGGGCCCAGCAGCACCGAGACATGGAGGAGGACCCCGGCCGCATGCAGCAGCAAGCACAGGAAAGGCCGGTAGTTGCGGAAGCCCACGCAGCGGCCCAGCAGGCGACAGTGGTGGTCCCGACGCAGGATACAGACGCGGCAGGCAGTGCAATGCCCGCTGCGGGGTGGCACCTGGCTTTGGCACTGGTAGCAGTAACTGCGGGAAGAAACCACAAGGTCAGTTCCCCCAGCAACTCGAAGCAGCCCAGATCTCGGGCGGGGTCAGTCCCTGGGCCCACCCCGGGGAAGCGGGAACTACCAGGTGCCCTCACTAAGTCTCAGGTTCCTTACAGGTAATGCAGGCTGGACAGGCTGCCCCCAGACCTTTCGGTTTCAGCACTGCAGGTCTGAGGTCTGTTCCAGCACTAACATCCCCAGACCTCTTTCTCTGGCCGCTAACATCCAGCCCAAACTCTTCCCTTCCTGCATGGTCACCACCTTGTCCGGGTCATAGGAACTCTCCTCTGGATTACTGCAACAGACCCTTAACTGGTCTCTGATTCCACCTTTGCCCTCTTAGGGAAGTCTCACCCCAGCAGCCAGATGACTCTTTTAAGACCTAAGTAAGTCATGGCTGGGTGTGATGGCTCATGCTTGTAATCCAGCACTTCGGGAGGCCGAGGTGAGAGGATTGCCTGAGCCTGTGGGTTTGAGACCAGCGTGGGCAACTTGGTGAGACCTCATCTCTACAATTAAAAAATACACACACAGCCAGGCTCGGTGGCTCAGCCTGTAATCCTGCGCCTTGGGAGGCTGAGGTGAGTGGATTGCCTGAGCCCGCATGTTCAAGACCCACCTGGGCAGCGAGACCTCATCTCTACAATAAATCAAAAAATCAGCCGGGCATGGTAGCGCATGCCTGTAATTCCGGCTACTCAGAAGGCTGAGGCGGAAGGATCGCCGGAGCCCAGCAGGTCGAGGCTGCGGTGGCCGGGAGTGGCCACTTCACTCCAGTCTGGGTGACAGAGTGAGACTCCAACTCAAAAAAAAAAAAGGGAAAGACTTCAATGGCCCACAACGTCCTTTTGTCTCTGACATCTCTTACCCTCTCTCAACTCCACTACAGCCACCCTGGCCTTCTTACCATTCCTGGTACATGCGAGGCACACAACTTCCTCAGAGCCTTCGTATCATCTATTCCCTCGGCCTGAAACACTCTTCCCTCAGATTCCCAAATAGCTAACTCTCCCACCTCCTCTGTTTTGGCACAAATGCCTCCTCGGTGAGGTCCACCTTGACCTATTTATTTTTATTCTATTTCAAATTAACTAAAAAAAATTTTTTTAGAGACAGGATCTTGCTATGTTGCCCAGACTGGAGTGCACTGGCTATTCACAGCCAACCTTGAACTGTCCTCAAGCGATTCTCCTCTCACCTCAGCCTCTAGGGTAGCTGGGACTACAGACACAGACCATTGTGCCTGACTTAATTTTTCTTTTTTAAACTATAAATTGACAAATTATAGTTGCATATATATTTATGAGATACAAAGTGACGTTATGATTTATCAATACAATGTGAAATAATTAAGTCAAGCTAATCAACACATCCACCACCTCAAATACACATCTTTTTTTTGTGGTTTAGAATTAACCACCTGTAAACTGAAACGTCCACCCCATTTACCCTGCACCACTGTTTGTTTCCATTCCACTATCTGCTTCTAACAATCTACATAATTTGCTTATTATCCCGATGCCTGGATCAGTACCTTCCCTGCACATAGTAGGTGCTCAATTAAGTATTTGTGAGTGATAAATAATGCTCATTCTAGCTGTTCCATCCCAGGAGTCGCTGGCTCTAACGACCCGGATCCCAGTGTAATCGGGTCCTGGGGCCCCTCCCCCGCCGAGGCTCCCGCTTCTCCCCGCCGGATCACGCGCCCCACTCACGCCCAGCCCTGGCCCAGACCGCGGCCAGCCAGCATCACGCCCCGGATGCTGGGATCCGAGCGCAGGAAGAGCCCCACGTTGCCCAGCAGGTTGAGCAGCTGGAAGGCGGCCAGCGCGAGCTGCAAGGCCCGGGCCAGGGGTCCCAGCGGAGGAGGCCCGGGCCCCAGCACCAGCACGTAAGCCAGCTCCAGGCCCACGGCTGCAGCCCACAGCGCCGTGAGCACCAGAGGCAGCCGCGCGGGCGCCCCCTCCGCGCTTCCAGCCGCCCAGGGTTGCCCCATGGCCTGGACCCACCGGCTGTGGGACCCCTGGGATCTCGCCGCTTCCGGATTGGGGCGGGGATTGCGGCAGACGGACGTCCAGCAGGACCAATCGGGGCTCGGAAGGGTGAGGGGGCGGGAGGTGATTGGACCGACGGAAGAGCCCGGCGATGCTCAGAATCCCGAGGGCGCCGAAGCTCGGGTGACGCAGCTGAGCGAC